AGGCTGAGGCGGAAGGATCACCGGAGCCCAGCAGGTTGAGGCTGCGGTGGCCGGGAGTGGCCACTGCACTTTAGTGTGGGTGACAGAGTGAGACTCCAACTCAAAAAAAAAAATTAAGCTGGGCTCGGTAGCTCAGCCTGTAATCCCGCGCCTTTGGGAGGCTGAAGTGAGTGGATTGCTTGAGCCCGCGGGTTCGAGAACCACCTGGGCAGCTAGACCTCATCTCTACAATAAACCAAAAAACAAATTAGCTGGGCGTGGTAGCGCATGCCTGTAATTCTGGCTACTTGGAAGGCTGAGGGGGAAGGATCTCCGGAGCCCAGCAGGTTGTCGCTGCGGTGGCCGGGAGCAGCCACTGCACTCCAGTCTGGGCAACGCAGTGAGACTCCAACTCAAAAAAAAAAAGAGAAACCAGTTAGAAGGTTCTATGTGAAAACACAGATTTCTGGCTTCTCTGGAAAAAAAAACTCAGCCCGGATTGGCCCCATGGTGACTCCTGGCTGAGGCCCATGTGTGCCCGCTTTAGAAAAATACATGAGCCAAGTGCAGTGGCTGACGCCTACAACCCCAACACTTTGGGAGGCAGAGGTGAGAGGACTGTATGAGCCCAGGGGTTCGTGACCAGCCTGGACAACTTGGTGAGAACTTGTCTCTACCACAAATAAAAAAATTAGCTGGGTGTGGTGGCGTGCACCTGTAGTCCAGCTAATCGCAAGGCTGAGGTGGAAGGATCGCCGGAGCCCAGCAGGTTGAGGCTGCGGTGGCTCTAAGCGTGCCGCTGCCCTCCAGCCTGGGCGAAAGTGAGACTCCAACTCAAAAAGAAAGAAAAAAAAACATGCAAGCTCTCCAATTTGCCACATTCCCTACGTTTCCCTCCAGTCTCACGCCCACCAGTGCCCTGGAGTGCCCAAGCCCGTGGCAGCCACAGGGATGCACAGACATCCCGCCCCTCCTGGCAGCCCCTGCCGCTGGGCGCTGGTGCTCACTTACCCTCCTTCTCGGCGGGAGGTACAGGGCTCCTGCTTGTGCCCCGAGGGCTGCTGCCGGGCTGTGGGGGGGTGTCACTCTCCGGCTGCAGGTGCTGTGGCGGTGTCGGGGCGGAGACAGCCGATTTGGGGGGAGCCGCGTCCTCCCGGGGGGTCTCGAGGACCTTGGTGACCTGCTGAGGGAGGCGGGCGGGTGTGAACAGGCACTGAGAACGCCTGAGGGCGCCTGGGGTGGTCGGCCTGGGGACACAGGCCCGGGAATCTGGTGGTGACAGGCGCAGGGTCTTGGGTGGACAGGCGGGCGGGTCCTGGCGCAGGGTCTCAGGCAGCGGGTGGGGCTGGAGCCACAGCCCTCTCCACCAGGCCTTTCCCTGAACCCAAATCCTCTGGGACTCAGAGAGCCAGGCCTCTGAGTAGCGTGGGGCCGCAGGGCGGCGGGTGCAGACAACCTGCCCTGAGCCCGCGGCTTGAAGCCAGCGGATGGTCAGGCTGGTCCCTCGGGAACTCTGACCCGGAGCCCCCCACCGACCCCACACAGCCGGGAGATCTCCCAGGGGCCTCCCACAGGGCCCCGTGGTCGGAACGGGGGCCCCATCCTTCTCTGCCAAGGAGGTGACGGCCTGGAGAGAGGGTGTCCTGCTTCCCCATGGCCTGTGCCCCGTCGGGGATTCAGGGAAATGCGGCGGGGGGGCCAAGGGGGTGCTGGCCGGCTCCCAGGCACTGGGCGGGAGGGCGGGGCCTGGCGCAGCTGCTCGCCTCCCCCAGAGCCCGGCTGCTGCCCCTGCCGTCTCCATGGGGACCTCCCGGAAGCAGGAGTGGCCACAGGTGCAGGCCCGCTGGAAGTCAAGGTCAGGGCGGCCTGCGGGGCCCCACACTCACAATGGGGGGGATGGCGGCCGCCCGCTGCTTCAGCTGCTTCAGGTCCAGCGGCTTCTGGGGCGAGGCACTGGCCCTGGGGTCCCCTGCCGGGGTCAGGAGGCTGGGTCGCAGGGACAGCAGCCTGTGGGGAGACGGGCATCAGGCGGCCATGCCCGCGGCGGCCTCTCCTGGCTCGCGAGCCCTGGACAGCAGGGCCCCGAGGCGGGGCCGCCGTCCGGCCCCCCCACCAACCAGTCCTGCAGGGATAAGGGCTGGGATCTGGGGTGGGCGGGCAGCTCCTTCCTCGCCCCCCAGCTGGGCAGGCCACAGGCCCCGGCAGCCGACACACCCCCAAGGCAGCCCCAGGCAAAGAAAGTCTCGGGGAGGCCGCCCAGGCCGGCACACGTGGGGCCTGGAGCTGCCGGGAGGCCCACGACCAGCCACCAGTGGAGGGACAGAGCCACTCGCCACTTGAGGGAGGCTCGGCTGCTGGCCCGGGCCTCGGCCTTGGAGCCCAGCTGACTCCGTTCCTGGAACCCCTCCCACACACCCTCCGTTTAGGATAGAAGTAGCAGCGCCCGGGCCGCAGGCTGCGCTGGGGGGTGGGCACGTGTGTCCACTGTCCACTGATTACCCACACGTGTCATTCCCCCCCCCCCCCCCCCCCCCCCACCCCCCCGAGGCACAGAGTTGGAGATCTGCGCAGGCGTGTAGAATGCCCAGTGCTGGCTGCGGGGGGAGGGATCCCGGGCTGCACATTGGGTGTTGCCTCCTCCTGGAAGCCTTCTGGGATTTGAGGACCCCAACACGGGGCCCAGCATCTGCCACAGTCCCCGTCTGGCTTCCCAGCTGGCACCAGGCCTCCAAGGGCTGGAACGAGGTCTACTCCAGCCTGACAGCCCTTTGCCGCCCAGGGGGGCTGCCCAACTCTCGACTCTGCCCACAACCTGCATTTGCAGAACACAGAGCCGGCCCAACTCCATGCCAGGTGCTCAGAAGAGGTGTAGAACCCAGCCTCTGCCCAGGGCCTCCGGGCTGGTTAAGCAACCATACAGCACGTGTGAGGGCACAGTCACAGTGGGTCCCAGCAGCTGGTGGGTCCCGTCAGCCCCTGCTGCACGATGTGGCCAGTGGCTGATGTCACATGCAGGCTAAGCCATGGCCACTGTCCTCGAGGTGAGAGCCGGGGCAGCCAGACATAGCTCATGCCACCAGGAGCCCACGGCCACATGGGCGTGCAGCCACCAGGAGTCCACGGTTCCTCCCCACAGGAGAGCAGGGCAGACGCCTGGGCGCGCTGGGGCCCTGCCAACATCCCCCTCCACTCTGCTGTGGCAGGACCACGGGGCCACAGGTGTGTGCAAGCCTGTCCTGTGGGTACCAGCCTCCTGCCCACATCTGCCACACGCTCGGCTGAGCATGGGCAGCACATGACAGCACACAGACTCGGTGATGCCTGCCAAGGCTGCAGCAGCAGGCAGGTGGCGGGGGGGACGGTCACCCCGACTCCTCTCCGCGCAGCCGGCCTCTCCTGACACCGGAGCCTCTCCTCCCACCGCAGCCTCTCTGCACTCCTGGGCCCACCTGTGTCCTGCCACCACGGCCAGGGCCCCCGACCCAGGCCGAGCCCCAATGCTGTCGGGGCCTTGGCACTCCGTGCCTGGCGGCATCGGCTTGCCACCTGCACGGCCCTCCAAGCACGCTCCTCCTCCTCCGTGTGGACCAGCCAGAGTCTGTAAGCCCGGACACGGAAGAGTGGGCTGCGGTCACTGTGGGAGCAGGCACATGCTCCGCAAAAGGCCAAACGCAGCCAGTGGCACCACTCCCAGGTACTCACACAAGACAGAAGGCGATGTGCGTCCACACAGCCCCGCCACAAACGCGGCAGCACCATCCATGCCAGCCAGAAGGTGGAGGCAGCCCAAGTGTCCATCCACCGACAGAGAGGCAAACTGTAGCCTGTCCACACAAGTGTCCGTCCACTGACAGGCCTTCCACGCAACGCAAAATCCATCCACTAATGGAGAGAGACCACACGTGGCCTGTCCACACAATGCAAAAATCCATCCACTGGAGAGAGAGCAACCACACGTGGCCTGTCCAACAACGCAAGCGTCCACCCACTGACAGAAACCATGTGGCCTGTCCACACAATGCAAGCGTTTATTCACTGACAGAGACCACGCAGAGCCTGTCCACACAAGTGTCCATCCACTGACACAGCGAGACCACACATGGGTTGTCCACACAACGTAAGTGTCCATCCGCTGACAGAGAAAGGCAACGTGTGACTTGTCCACACAACACAAGCATCCATCCGCTAATGGAGACCACATATGGCCTGTCTAAACACTGTAAGCGTCCGCCTACTGATGGAGACCACACGTGGCCTGTCCACACAATGGGAGGTGACCCAGCCACGAAAAGGAGTAAAGCCACACATGCCAACGTGGATGAACCCTGAAGACACAGACACTGACTGAGAGAAGCAGAACAGAAGGCCACACAGTACACGACTCCTTTCGCATGAAACATCCAGAACAGGCCAATCCCGAGGAACAGAAAGCATACCAGTGGGTGCCGGGGCAGGGAACGGGGAGGGGAACCGCCGGCGGGGACAGGGTTTCACGACTCTGTGAACACACCAAACACGACTAAACGGCACTCCAAATGGCAGACTCCATAAAGCTGTTATAAAACACACAACACGTGCCACGCGCCACGTGCCAGCCGTGAGTCCAGGGCCTGTGTGTCAGCTGCATCTGTCTATGAGCAGTAAGAACCGTGCTACGTTCTACATGTGTATAAAAGAGGACGACGCTGAAAGACACATCTGAAAGCTGAAAGCCGCACCGCTGTACGTGTGGACACTGAACCCAGTAGAGACGGGAAACAGGGCTTCAGAACACACGGGGATCCCGGGTGGGCCCCGGCGCAGCTGCCGTGAGCCAGGGCGTTCTCCGCAGGCCCATGCCTGCTCCTGCCATGGTCTCCCATGGCTCCGCCCCCATGTGTTGGGGCAGACACCCTCTGGGTGGCACGCAGAGGCCCAGAGCCCTTTCCAGAGCCCTCACAGGGAGGCAGGAGACCTCCAATCCATCGGAGGCAAGGGAGGCAGCAGCCAGCACGGGGTCTTGGTTCAAGTCCCACAGGGGCCGGGCAGTGGCGCCTGCAGGAGGGAGAGTGCGCAAGACGCGGGCCAGGGCCTGCCGGCATCCCCCACCAGCTCCCTCCCCTCGTCCACTCAGAGGACAGTGGCACTCTCGTCCCTGCTGGAGGCCCGGGTGGGGCTGAGGTCTCAGACCCAGCCCCCCCCCCCACAGCCGAGAAAACGGGCTCCAAGTTCAAATCCCCCCACCTTTTCTTTTTTTTTTGAGTTGGAGTCTCACTCTGTCACCCAGACTGGAGCGCAGTGGCCACTCCCGGCCACCGCAGCCGCGACCTGCTGGGCTCCGGCGATCCCTCCGCCTCAGCCTTCCGAGTAGCTGGAGCTACAGGCGTGCGCTACCACGCCCAGCTAATTTTTGATTTATTGTAGAGATGAGGTCTCTCCAAGTTGCCCGGGAGGGTCTCGAACCCGTGGGCTCAGGCAATCCACTCACCTCGGCCTCCCAAAGTGCTGGGATTACAGGCTGAGCCACCGAGCCCAGCCAAAATCCCCCCTTTGACCGTGCGGTTTAGCCCCTGTGCCTGTTCCCACACCTGTCAAATGGAGGCCCAGAGCCCTCGGCACTGTCCCCGGGGGCTGTCCCGAGGGCGAACATGGGTGACCAGCACTGGGGCCCAGAGGGTGAGGCCATCCTCTCTCTGCTGGTTTCCTTCTCACCCTGGAAGGCAGGGGCGGGGAGCCGGGGGCAGTGAGGGCCCCGCCTCAGTCTCCCCGTGACCACTCGGCCGGGACGGTCCTGCCCAGGACGGGGGGGAACAGGCACCCCTTGCCTCCCCAGGACTCCCCGAGGACCTGCCCCCAGGCCCCTCCACCTCGGCGGCCTTTCCAGCCTTCCCTGTTCCCATCACCCACTCCTCTCGAGGCCACGCACCTCTTCCCCAACCACGAGCTTGAGTTCATGCAGCCACAGGGCCTCTGCACGGCAGCCCACGGGCTCTGAGCGTCGCCTCAGGAAGTCCGTCCCTGCCTGCCCAGCCCACTCTCCTCTCTTCCACACCCCGCCTTCCCCTTGCCCACCAGCCCACGGGCCTCGCTACAGCGGAGCCTCACCAGCCCTGCACCCAGCTCCTGCACACGCCTGGCGTGCAGAGTGCCCTCTCCATCGCCTGGGAATAAAGCAACGAAGGAGAGGCTGCCACTCCAGTTCTCTCAGCACCCCAGGGAGGCAGCAGAGACGGCCACGCTCCCACCCCCTCACCGTGGCCTCGGGGGACCCAAGCCCAGCCCAAAGGAGGGCGGCACCCCCTCACTGCGCACCTGTGGGCTGCCCTGGGCTGGCGTTTGAAGGCCGTGAGTAAGGCACTCTCCGAGTCAGCCACCCAGCCCATCTCACAGGTGAGAAGACGGTGGCTGCGGGAGGGCCTCCCAAGGCCCAGCCCTGCCAGAAGGCGCCAGGCAGGCACCTTCCCCGGGGAGCGCCGGGGGTCAGGCCGGCTCGGGGCTTTGCAATCAAAGCCACCACCTCTGGTCGCCTGCCCGGAAACCTCCCAGGCAGAAGCTTCTGGAGAGTCAGCGGAGAACACGGCTCTCTCTCTCCCAACGCTGCCCCAGTGGAGCCAAGCAAGGCTCGTCCACCCAGGAACACGGAGACTCTCCAGCGGGGGCTGTCCAGCAGGAAGGACAATGGCGGGCAGGCGGGTGGCCAGGCCGAGGGGTCACCCGGGGGCCCACCCTCCCGGGAGGCCCGGCTGCCCCGGGCAGCTCTGACGCATCTCGCCCAAGTCCCCTGGCGCCTGCCTGGCCCGGTACCGTCATAGCGGCCGAGGGAGGGGGCGGGCTGGCGGCCAGGGAGCGGCCAGCAGGCTGGCCCAAGTCCAGCCGCACTCTCTGAGAGGCAGGGCAGGCCCGGGGGTGGAGGACAGACAGGGGTCCCGACTCCCAGCTGAGGCCTCCTGCCCCAGGCTCAGAGCTAGACGTGAGGCAGGGCTGGCTGCATGCCAGGCCCGGCGGGAAGGGAGGGACGCGGCCCTGGGCGGGGCTGTCAGGGAGAGGGCCCGGGAGGCAGACGGGATTCGGGCCGACCCCCGGCCCCGAGAACCCAAAAGGCCACGAGTTGACCGTCCCATGAGTCAAGCCTCTTCCCGAGGGCACAGACGGCCCCCATGATGGCCCCAAGGACAAGAGCAGGGCGGAGAGCTGCCATCCCTGAACCCACTGCCCAGGCACAAGGGCCCTGGCCCCTGCCATCCCTGGCAGGACGGGCTGCGTCATGAGCACTGTTTTCCGAGCTGTGGCTGTCAGGCAGAAGGCTCGGGAATGCGGTGCCAGCCAGGCCTCCGCCTGCCCCAGGGTCACTGCCAGCCATCTGTTGGCAGCAGCCCCCAGGGACCCCAGACTGCCTTTATTGGGACCTTGCAGAGACCCGGGTGAACCTGAGTTTCCGCTAACTGTTCTAGGACTTTCCATCTTCACACGCCACAAGGTGAATGCTGGGGCAGAGAAGGCTGCGAGCCCGAAGGTCAGATTTTCCACCCTTGCCTGGCTAGAACTTTTCCCAGAGACCAGAGAGAAGACAGCCTCACTGTTTGTATCAAAACACGAGAACCCGCCCGCCTCACTGGAAAACGATCCATCCAGCGCCCAGATGTGAGCGGGACCAGCCCCGGCTCCCTGGGTCGGCCCTGACTCGGTGGATGTTTCTGGCTCGGATGGGGGGGGCTTAGGGTCCCCAAGCGCCCAGGGCCCGGAGGGGCCACCGTGCAGGAGCAAAGACAGAGACGGGGAGGAACACGCCTCAGAGACGTCGGCGCCCAAACAGCACAGCACAGAGGCTTCCAGAAGGAAGGAAGTCTCCCCAAGGGGGACTGGGCGGGGCCTCGCTGGACGGGAGAGGCATGGCCAAGAATGCTCCGGATCTGTGGCTCGCGCCCCCACGCCACCACCCTCTGGCTCTACCGTGACCCCAGGACAACTGCAGCAGCCTCCTGACTGTGCTTTCCTCGCCCCCACGAAACGCCCATATGCAGCAGCTGCTGGGGATCGGAGAGAAATCACCTCCAGGGCAAAGCTCCCAAGGGCTTCCCACGGCCCTGAGGACCAGGCAGCACCCACCTGGCCCCTGGCACCATGAGAGTCGGCCCCGCCCACCACTGGCCCCACCCACACCCGCCTGGCTCCGCCCACCACCGGCCCCACCCACACCCACACCCAGCCCTGCCGGGTCCCTCCTGCGGCCACCCCTCAGTGCCTGCATCCTGCCACGGCCCGCCACACCGAGGGTAGCATTGTGTCCCCCAGCAGACACGGTCGAGCCCTGACCCCAGGTCCCCGGGAGCGTGGAGCTCTGGAAACGGGGCCCTGCTGAGGCAATCGAGTGAGCTTGAGGGCCCACGGGGCAGGGCGACCCCCCCGACTAGATGGCTGGCGTCCTCAGAAGAGGAAGAACATGCCAGCACAGGGATGGGGGCGCCGGCGGTGACTACAGGGCAGAGCCCAGGGCCTGCTGTCCAGCCACCAAGGCAGAAGAGGGAAGGAGGAGCTCAGCGGTTTCCGAGGGACCCAGCGCCTGCCCCGGGCTTCCGGCCTGCAGGCCCGCCGTGTGCCGGCTGGCAGGACAGCCCGAGGGAGTGCCGTGCCCACCTGGCACTCTTCCCAGAGCGTGCCACGCTGTCTCCTGCTCCGTCCAGGTGTCGACACAGATGTCCTCCCGGAGAGGTCCAACCCCCCCCCCACCCCGCACACCTCGGCTTCCTGGACTCTCTCCGAGTCTGCCTCCAACCAGCCGACAGGCTCCAAGGACAGGCAGGGCCTGCAGTGCGCAGCCCTCGGCATACAGCCGCTGCTCAACGTTGACAGGCAGAAGCCCCCAGAGGGGACACACTCACCGGCTCTTGTCGCCGCCCTCGGGCTCATCCACCTCGTCGGCACTGCAGGTGGCGCTGGAGTCGCTGTCCTGGGGGGCGCCGGCGCCCTTGGCTGCAGCCCGGCCAGCCCCGCCCTCCTTCTTCTCCGCCTTGGGCGCCCCCTCGGGCGGCGTCTCAGTCTCCCCCTTGCTGGCGTCAGGACCCTCCGCCTCCGCCTGGCACGTGCCCGGGACGGGCTCCTCGGGGGGCGCCCCAGGCTCCTCCGCCGGCCCCAAGTCCCCGGCCGGCTCCTCGGCCACGGGGGGCTTCTGCTCCTCCACCTCCTCCGCGGGG